GGGAAAGAGCTAGAATAAAGGATACCCATGCTCCTTTGTCCTACTCAAAGGATAATGGAAATGAACTTTTGGGAAGAGGGGCTGGGGTCAAGGATCTGCTTCTTCTCTTATTTCTAGTCCCCCAATGGAGAGCCCTATTTGTATCAGGTGTAAAACTGAACAAGCTGGTTCAGGAAGCAGCCTAGAACTATATCCACCCAACCCACTGAACCCCAGAGAGAGACTGTGGCTACATGCAGTGTAAGAAAGGAGACCTGGGGAGCCAGTACCGTTGCCTCCAAGTACCCGAAAGCATGTGTGTTAAGAGGAGTGAGGAAGCTGCAGAAAGAAAAGAATATGACCAATGGGTGGGAAATGCACGGACAGAGATTTCACGTCAACAGAAGGAAGAGCGTTTAACAGTCAGGCTCTTCCACCATGGGACAGGCTCCCTGGAGGAAGTTAGAGAGACTGTTTTAAGTGCTTTACTTATATTGTTTAATTCTTACAACTCCCCATCTTATGAAGGCAGAAAACACAGGGGAAGAGAATAAGTGACTTACACGAGGCTATGGGGCAGTAAGTGGGAAAGTCAGGAGGAAACCCTGGGAGACCTCTACACACTGCATCCAAACAATGAGCATGGTGCCTGGGCCAAAGTGAGGGCTCACCTGGTGACTATTATTACAGAGGCAGCATCATATATGGTCAAGAGGGAGCTCTCCACAGCCATTCTGTATGACATTACGCAGGTAACTAAAGTTCTCTCTCGTGTTCTCATCTGTGAAATGGGCATAGAAATGTCCATTTCATAGGGAAGCTCAAAGATTAAATGAACGAACACACATAAAATGTTGAGAAGAATGCCTGGCTCATAAGTGTGTCACAGATGTTAGCTAACACCATATAAAGATGCACTAGGTTATAAATACACATGTAAGTGTTTAACGCATTAATATGACATACTGCTTTGCCTGTGTCTGTAATACCCACTCATAGGGGCAATCACTCAAGAAGAGTCCCAGCTCAGTAATGAGGCATCTTTACCCACCACTGATGTCTTCTAGTTGCACAGTCTAGCAGAAAAGTCCACTTATTCGATTGCTTTGTGCTTAAGCAAACCACAGTGCCTAGGCATATAGGTCCACAATTCTACTGGATGGTGGGGATTGTTCAACAGGTGTTTATTCTCCCTGGAAATCTTCCTCTCAGCTTGAACCTTTAGTCAAGTAAAATCTAATCTAAGATTTTGATGAGTGAAAAAGAGGGGACCATAAAAGCAACCCTGCAGAAGAAATGGAATATTTTCCATGGACTTTTTCTGCAGGGAGCTCTTCAGAGACCCTCAAAACAGATCTGAGGATGGAGACTGAATTCTTGCACGGAAATCCGTGGAGCCGGGGGCTGCGCTGTCTTACCTTGTGAGCTTGGTGCCGATCTGCTGCCTCAGCTCCAGCCGTTCCTCGTCCGTCTGCCTCGGAAGGATGTTCTTTTCTTCCAGCTCTCGCTTGGAGGGCCTGTTGCTGAGTTTGATGGCTAAGGAGTCCTTCCTGCACACCTTCATGGCCAGGGAGCCTGCAGGAAGGGAGACATGAGGTAATAAGGCTGTCACCAACCTGCTCGGGCTCCCCCCACAGGGACAGCCGTGGACCACAAGGTGAGAGGCGGGGAGACAGATATAAGAGCCCAACACCTGAGCGTGGTCAAGACCTCGGTCAAAGGAGGAAAGCTATAGTATGTGACTTTCATACAGTTCCTGCATGAAAAGCATGTCCTTTCTACCTCGCGGTATGCTGGGCATGTGCGGGGCACATGGAGAGCCTGTGATTGGATCTCTGCTCCCCAGGAACTCCCCCCCCACGCCCAATGTGGGCAACATCACAAAGGAGGGGGGCCAGACTGAGGAGTGCAAGATAGAATGCAAAGGGCGGAGGAGGGACGGAAGAGGTGCGGCCGGCAAGTGCAGGATAAGTGAGGCCAACAGGCAGCAGGCCGGTGGGCATCTGCGTGTGTGGACGCTCAGAGGTGAAGGATAGGCGGGGGAATCACAGGAGACAAAAGAGATCAGCTACAGTGGGGCTGGAGGGTACAGGCAAGTAAAGTTGGGTAAAGTGGGGTCCGTGTGGGGTGGGAGAGGGGGCAAGCTCATGGAAACAGGCAATATTCTGGGTCTGCTTTTATTTCCTCACATCTGGAATAAATCCATGATTCTCAATCAGGAGTGATTTCTGCCCCCACCAGGGACATTCGGCAACGTCTAGAGACATTTTTGGGTGTCAAACTCGAGTTTGCTGGGGAGGGTGCTACTGGTACCCAGTGGGTAGAGGCCAGGGATGCTACCAAACATCCTACAATGCACAGGGCAGCCGCCATGACAAAGAGTTATCTGGCCCAAGATGTCACTTGTGCCAAGGTTGAGAAACCCTGGTATAAAGCGTTCCATTCTCTGGCCAGGAAGTGGTGAGCAGAGGCTGGGCAACAGCTCCTTCCCTCATGGACCATGTGGGCCTTCGGCTGCCCCTCCAAGGTTCTCTCCTCAACACCAGGACTATTTCCATCACTCAGGTTTAGTGAGCTGTCTGAAGCCTGGTGAGTTGTGAGGCAAGAGGAAGAGACCGGGAAGCAGCAAGTTTGGGGGGGGTTCCTTTGGATCTTATATGGTAAGTACTTATCTTCCTTCTTTTGCCACTGCTTTTAGAACGTGGGTTTTGGAATGAGACACAGGCAGTTTCAGCTCTCAGCACTGCCACTTAGTAGACGTGAGTCTCTGGGCAAGTCCCTTACCTCTCCATTTTCTCCCCTCACCTGTAAAATGGGGCAGTAGTTTATGCCCTTGAGTGTGGTAAGATGTAGATGAGAATAAAACCTTAGCACATTGTCAGGCACACAGTCGGTAAAAGGCTGCTATCATATAAGTTCACGCATTAAAAAGCTGATCACTGAAATTTAAGTTCCGTGGTTGAGGTATGCTTAAAAATGAATTTGTTCCACATACAATGGTCAGCATTTTTATATATTTTGTAGACTGGAATTGAATTTTAAGGTGCCTCCCCTCCTTGCTCTTATTTTTTTTTTTAATTGATGGGGTGTTGCAGCCCAAGGAAAGCAATCAAAGAAAGAAAGAGACATCTAAAAGAGGCAAGAGATGGTAGCACGACGTTGTAATTTTTAGAGCTCTGAGGCTGTTCAGAGGACAGTTACCCTTTCATCTTCCTAATGAAGAAACAGTAACCTCGGACCTCAGGTTAGAACCCACAGAGGTGGGCAGCTCTTCCCACGAGCCACGCCCCTCCCACCCTCAGCGAAGAGTTTGGATGCACCCACTGGTATACAGCGAGCTGTCGTCGTCCTCGTCCTCTTCCCCTTCTCTTGTGTACAGGCAAGAAGAGTCTTCGTAGTCTGATTCATGAGGCACATTTTCTTTATTGTCATCACATTCAATCACAACAGTTGGCACTTGTCTTATTTCCGGAAGGCCCAGAGGTCCTGCTTTTGTGACACTGTCACCCGAGTGCAAACCAGAGCTGTGGTAAGAAGTGGAACAGGGTACCCGCTGCTCAGAGCTGTTTAAAGAGAAAAGAGCACATTTATTCTGGCTAACGTGTCATATTAAATGCATCAGAACCTTTTAAAAACTTAGCCATTATGTCCTAAGAGACAAAAGGTCTAATGGGCAATTCAAGTCTCATTTCTCACCTAACAGCTAACTGTTTTGGGGCAGCTGAGTTACCTGATGGTGGTAGCAGCACGGAATAGGAAATGAGAATTCTACTGCCCTGCGGATGGACGGTGGTGACGGTAGCACAGTAATGCGAATGTACGTGAATGCCACTGAACTGTATACTTCAGAATGGGGAAGATGGTGCATTTCATGTCCTGTGTATTTACCGCAATTTAAAAAATAAAAAATTTTAAAAATAAATTTAACTCTTTTTTATTTCTGGTTAAGAGCAACAACCCCAATGGTCAAAGGAAGGTTCATTTGCAACCCACATGTCTTAAAGGAGTAAAAGGGTTAATTTGATGGTGAAGTGAGAGACCCAGGAAAGAAAGACACAATACATGAAGCTCCAGCTTTCAAAGCTATACAGCATGACTGGTAAGGGCTGACTGAAATGTCACGGATGGAGATGCAGAGAAACAGAAGAGGTGGGACCATCAGGCTGGAGACCCACGCATGACATCGGGGTGGACATGGGCAAGGGCGACTCAGACCAAGTTCTCTCCCAAGGACCATGTCAGACCCTCAGCAGACACAGGTAACGCCAGTCTGGTTTTTCAGCAGGTCAATGTTCCCAGCAGCAATGATGATCATATTTTTGGTTTTACCTCTTTAGTTGAGCCAACTCAGATAAAAAATATTTTTTAATTAAAAATGATTTGCTTCTTAATAAAAGCCACACGAGGGCTTCCCTGGTGGCGCAGTGGTTGAGAGTCCGCCTGCCGATGCAGGGGACACGGGTTCGTGCCCCGGTCCGGGAAGATCCCACATGCCGTGGAGCGGCTGGGCCCGTGAGCCATGGCCGCTGAGCCTGTGCGTCCGGAGCCTGTGCTCCGCAACGGGAGAGGCCACAACAGTGAGAGGCCTGCGTACCAAAAAAAAAAAAAAAAAAAAAAAAAAGCCACATGAGGTTCATTGTAAGGAAATCAGGAAATGTGTATTATCAAAAATAAAGAAAATTAGTTATTTTCTTATTAGAGTCTATCCAAGGTTCCTACAGCAATTTAGAATCCTTTTTATGACCGGCTCTGAATGAAGTCCAGCAAGAATAATGGAGCCTGAAACACACAGTTAAATTTCAGAATTTTTTTTCAGATTAACTTCAAGTGGAATTTCTGTCTTTCATTTAAGGAATTTCTAAACATAGGAAACTGAATGCATTTTACCATCCAACAGTGTTTGACGTGTTAAGAAACGGAGTGTGAGGCTATGCTGTCTAGCAATAATTTTACGTTAGAACATCTTATCCAAAAGAAAACTCTTAAGGACATGTGAATGCATGCTAGGTCTCCTTTAAAACTTTCCTTACATTTTATTTTTTTAAAAATGTGTCTAATTTCTAAATCTCAGCTTTTTATTTCTTTATAAAAATTATTTGTTTATTTTTGGCTGCGTTTGGGGCTTTGTTGCTGTGCACAGGCTTTCTCTAGCTGCGGTGAGCGGGGGCTACTCTTCATTTCAGTGCGCGGGCTTCTCACTGCAGTGGCTTCTCTTGTTTCGGAGCACGGGCTCTAGGCGCGTGGGCTCAGTAGTTGTGGCACACGGGCTCAGTAGTTGTGGCGCACGGGCTCTAGAGTGCAGGCTCAGTAGTTGTGGCGCATGGGCTTAGTTGCTCCGTGGCACGTAGGATCTTCCTAGATGAGGGCTCAAACCTGAGTCCCCAGCACTGGCAGGCAGATTCTTAACCCCTGCGCCACCAGGGAAGTCCCTCATTACACTTGATTGCTATGTCTAATTTAAATTCAATTCACTTTCTTCCTTCCATTGTTTCCAAAGGGCTGTTTTTCTCTTTGTATTTTTCTCATAACTCTTTAGTGACACAAATGGCAAATCTAGTTGACACATCATGAGCTATGATGTTCAAGGAAATGAACTAAATCAACTTAAAAAAAAACTTCAACCACTGAATAAGATTAAATCAATCACATGTTTATAAAAATGCAGCATCTTAATTAGACATTAGCAGGTTAGGGGGCCCATTTCCCACCTAGTTTAACAGGAATGGCAGTGAGAACAAGAAGGTGGAGTACAGAATGGATGGTCTCGCATGACAAATCCAAGAGCTGGCTGAAAGGTGACGGACTACACCACCTCCTGAGGCGGCCCTTCCATCAGACAACGACACCAGGCTCCAACCGCGCTTGGGTTTCTACACTGGGTATTAAGGGAAGTCGGCATGGAAGAAGCAAAACTGTATGTAATTCCATGGCTCCTGTTTTGTTTTGCCCCACCCCTGCTTTCTCCCCTCCCCCCCCCCCCCCTT